GTGTCAGGCCCTTCCATAACCACCCTCCCCAATATGTGCCTGACCCTTCCATATCCATAGTATGTGCCCAGCACCCCCATAACCCCTCCCGGTACCTTCCAGGTCCCCCCGTAATCCCCCCAGGTACATGCCTGGCCCCGCTGTCCCCCCAGCAGCCCCCTCTCCCCGATCTCCCTGTCTCCCCACTCCCCCTGTCACTGGGCTGACACGGCTCGGGTGTCCGCACAGGTTCCTGGCCTCCAAGGAGCAGTTCCATGCCTACCTGCGAGCCCAGGGTGAGCCCAGCAGCGGGGGCGAGGAGAAGGAGGAGAAGGACGGCAGCTGCCAGAGTGAGCCCCCCGCCAAACGGGTGAAGTCGGAGGAGCTCGGTCAGGATGGGGAAAACCGAGAGGATGCTGGAGCAGTGGAGAAGGAGCCAGCAGAGCGGAAGCGGGCACGTGGGCAGAACAAGAGCAGGCCGTGTATGAAACCCAACCACTACGAGCAGAGCAGGCTGTGCCCGTCGGTAACACAGGTAGGGTTAACGCCCTGCTCCATGCTGCTCTGGTTGGGGTGGGGGGTTTGGAACCCCAGTTGGCCCTTTCTGCTCCAGGGCTGCATTTATTTTTAGGTCTAGGGAAGCACAGTGAAGATAGAGCCACACCAGGGCAGAGTCCCAGCAGGGAGCGAGCAGGGGGCTCTGCTGGCAAAACCACCTCTGCTGGCTGCCTGGGAGAGGGTGAAGTGGGATAAGCTGAGCGGGACAAGCAAAGTGTCACCTTCCCTGAAGCGGTAGTGCTAAGTGTCCCCCTAGGTGGGTACGTCACTGCCCTTCTGTGGCACATTCCAGAAATCAGCTCCCAGAGAGCGTTTCGTGGGGCACCCAACGTCACCCGGGTGCTCGGAGAGGTTCTGGTCCCTTTCTGGGCCGGGGAGGACCCAGGCTCACTTCGCTATGCAGGAAAGTGCAGCCGTGCCCAGGTGGGCGAGCGGAGAGCAGAGGGTTTAACCTCCTCTTTCTTGTTTTAAGGGGTGTGCAGAGAAGTGCTACTTCGGCCCACGGTGCCACTTCCTTCATGACATTGGCGAGTACATGGCTGTGAAGCCGGCCGACCTGGGGCGCAGCTGCGTGCTCTTTGAAACCTTCGGCAAGTGCATTTATGGCGTCACTTGCCGCTTTGCCCAGGCCCACCTCGGGGACGGCTACCAGAACATCATCAACACGGAGCTGGCCAAGCAGTGGGAAGGGAAGTTGCTGGTGAGGAACAACCTCTCCAAGGACCTCCAGCACCAGTTACGCAAGAGGAAGTTTAGCTTCAAGAAGGCTGATGAGTACCTCCGTGGTCTGGCCAAGCCCCACGGTGATGGTGGGAAGGAAGTCAAAGACACGGGATGTTCTACAGAGGAGCAAGAGGTGCCCAACTGCACAACACCCCAGGAGGAGCTGGGAGATGGCCCTGAATGTCCTGTGCTACCGGAGCAGGGAGAAGATCCCAAACCAGATGCCTTACAGAGTCCCAGCCCTGCAGCTGGGGAGGAGGCTTCCTCCGTGAAAACAGTGGGCCCGGTGACAGATGAGGACATTATAAAGCTGCGGTCCTGTGAGAAGAAGAAGGTGAGCAGTGAGATTTTGGCTGAGGGCTGCTGTCTCTCGTGTCCTTCTCAAGTGGTGGAGATTGTGCTTGGGAAGATGGTAGCTTAGCTGGGTGAGAGGACAGAGCTGCCTGGGGACCGTGTTATGGTCAGGAGGAGGGTAGGATGAAGGAAGGTGAGTGGGGGCTGTGGTGTTGTCCTTGGAGGGGTGAGAGCCAAGAGAAGTTGCAGCTTGGATATGAAGGAGAGCAGGGACTGAGCTGTTGGTGAGAGTGGAAATGATCTGTAAGAAGAGCTGAAGTGGGGGCTGGTTGATTTGTGCTCTGCATGGTCCTCTCCTGGGGTGAGAGCGTTCCCTCTTTCCTCTCCTCCTCATACCTTCCGTCCTTGCATCCGTTTGCCAGTCTTGCATCCCTCTGTATCTGTAACTGCTTTGAGTTTTCTCCAAGCTGAGCAGTGAAAACAGATTGAGCAGTTTAAGTTTCTGGTTCTTTTGTCCAAATTATGCATTCTCTTGGAGTAGTTGAGGTTCTCGAAGAATAAACAGTGATTTTCTGGGTTTCCCACTGAGTTTTAACCAAGGCAAGTGATACAATTGCTCCCTGGAGTATCTTCCTGTTTAACCACCACTGCTTCAGTTCTCCTGACATACTCCTCCACCCTTGCTGTTTTCCAGTTGGACATCCAGGGCAAGCTGTACTTGGCTCCACTGACCACGGTAGGTAGATAATTCTCTCCTTTTGTCAAAGTTTGCCGTTGCAACATTTACAACAGAGCAAACCTCCTGCAAACTGTCTATCCACTGTCTTTTTCAGTGTGGTAATCTCCCTTTCCGAAGGATATGCAAGCGCTTTGGGGCAGACATCACCTGTGGCGAGATGGCTGTGTGCACAAACCTGCTTCAGGGCCAGTCCTCTGAATGGGCTCTCCTCAAACGGCATCATTCCGAAGATATTTTTGGGGTTCAGGTGGGTGCTATCATCTTGATAACCAGAGAAATGATAACTCACTTCTGAGGAGAAAAGCTGCTTCTTGAATTCATGCAACCTGTCCCCCTCTGGCAGCTGGAGGGAGCATTTCCAAACACGATGACCAAATGTGCAGAGCTCCTGAACCAGACAATTGAAGTGGACTTTGTAGACATCAATGTTGGGTGTCCCATTGACCTGGTCTACAAGAAGGTAATGAGATGTTCTGCAGCCCATTTTCCTTCCATCAGTAGAGTCTTGTCTTTTGCCTCATAGAATGGTTTGGGTTGGAAGGGACCTTAAAGATCATTGAGTCCCAACCCCCTGCCATAGGCAGGAACACCTCCCACCAGACCAGGTACTCCTGTTACCCGGTGGTCTCTTCGTCTCCTGTTACCCGAGCAGCTCCTGCCAGTCTGATTCAGAGCTCCCAGTTCATTTACCGGCACTAGATCTCAGCAAACAAGCAAATGAACAACAAATAAGCTGTTCAAAGAGCAGGGTATGGTTCTCTTCCTGGCAGAAGTTTGGAGGGAAAAGGTCTGTGGGGGTATTTTCATTGAAGAGTCTCCTTTCTCCAAGTCTTGAGATGCTCCTAGTCTTACCAGTATTCCCTGAGCTGCTGTTGAGCAGCTCCAAGGAGGTTCTTCACTATGCAAGGGGGCAAAAAGACTTGACTGCACCGCTTTTTGTCTCCCAGGGAGGAGGCTGTGCTCTGATGACTCGCTCCAACAAGTTTGAGCAGATCGTCCGAGGGATGAACTTGGTGAGTGAGAGCATCTGCCAGCAGCAGGAGAGGAATTTATGGAGCTGAGTCCTGCTCAGCCTGGCCTCACTCTCCTGTTCCTGCAGATGCTGGACGTCCCACTGACTGTGAAGATACGGACGGGGGTGCAAGAAAAGATTAACGTGGCTCATAAAATAATTCCCAAGATCCGGGAGTGGGGAGCATCCATGGTCACGGTAGGTGATCCTTGCTGTGGGGTGGGATTGTTGGCTGGTGCCTGGAGAACTCTGCTCACCTGTCAGCCTGGAACACAATGAGGGGGTGACCTTACCCTTCCCCACAGCTAAGCAGCTCTTCCAAACACCTTTGAGCAGCTGTGTACTATCTTTCAGTGTTTTCTGATAATAACAGAGAAAAATTCAGATGCAGAGAGCATTTTCTTAGGTGCTCCTGAGCCTTGTATCCATTACAAAGTGAGATGGTTCCTGCAGTGCTCGGGAACAGAGGTTTCAGCCAAATAATCCTCATTAGAGCAGGGCTGGGGAAGTGATGGGACCATCTAATTTGCATGGGGATGAGTAGTTCCGGCCCGCAGTGAATATTCCCTTTCACTGGGGACAGTCACTTCTGGCTGTGGCTTGCAAATGGCTGAAATGTTGCTCAGAAAACATCCAGCTCTTTCTTGGCTCTGCTGGCCACCTCCGCAGCCTGCTCTGTTAGCCACTGGCTATGTCCAGACAGATCCTTTACCCCAGCCTGGTGTTACTGCCTTTGCTGAAGCATGTTCCTCTGGTACTTCCCTTCTGCCCTGTCTCCTCCAGGGCGTTTGGTGAGATCTCTCTCTGACTTTCTTCTCCAGCTTCACGGCAGGTCCAGGGAGCAGCGGTACACGAGGGGCGCTGACTGGGACTACATTGCAGAGTGTGCTAAAATCGCGAGCCCCATGCCTCTTTTTGGTAGGTGTTGCTGTTGTTTTGTCACGTGGGCTGAAAGCACCACGTTTGATTCAAAATACCTTTAAAAAAGGGGAAAAAAAACCCAGGCTCCCAAGGACATTTAACCTGGGGGAGAGGTTGAAGTATCCCTGATGATGATGATGGTGATATGATGGGGTGAATTAACAGTGGCTCTCATGTTAACCTGCCTGTGCACTGGAGTCAGGTGGGATGAGCACTGAGAGGAGCAGGAGGAAAGGGACAGGCAGGATATAAACCACTTGGTTTTTAGCAGGTTCTTTTTTAGCAGGTTCTTCTTCTCTTTGGCACCACAGCACAGACAGTCCCAGCTAAACCAGGGTAAGAGTTGGGAGTTGAGAAGAGGAGAAGGCTCTTCTTTCCCTTGTAAGGGAAACATTAATCAGAAAAATCCCTGGGAGTCTTTAACCACGAGTCCTGGAGCCTCTTTGACAATCTGGCTTTTGGACCCTCTGTCCATTTTGAATTTTATCCCACGCCTGGATTAACTCATTTTGACTTGTCCTCATGTATCCCCTCGACCTCTGCCTTCTCCTTTCCTTCTGGACAGGAAACGGTGATATTTTGTCTTACGAAGATGCTAATCGAGCCATGCAGATGGGCGTTTCCGGAATTATGATTGCGAGGCAAGTGCCAGTGTTTCCCCTTTGCTTCTGAGCTCTGTTGGTGCAAGAGTTGAAAAAGGAATTAAAAAAAAATACCTAAACAAACCAAAACCACGAGCGGTTTCCTCTTGGTGAAACTACTCTTTAAAACTTGGTAAAATCAGTTTGTGTCAATGGGAGCTAACAGTAGCTTCCTATTGAAATTGAAAAAAAAAATAACTAAAGCAGCATTGGCTGGGAAATAGGTCCTGGAAATTAGTTGGCATTTTCAGAAACACTAGTCAAGGGAATAACAGAGCACATTTATTTTTTGGCTGCAGAGGGGCACTCATCAAACCATGGCTTTTCACTGAAATTAAGGAGCAGAGACACTGGGATATCTCCTCCAGCGAGAGATTTTATATCCTCAAAGACTTCACCAACTACGGCCTTGAGCACTGGGGGTCGGACACTCAGGGAGTGGAGAAGACCAGGAAGTTTCTGCTGGAATGGCTCTCGTTCCTGTGCAGGTGACTCTCCCCAGCTGAGAGGATCTTCACCACAGCAAACCTGTGTCGTTTGAGCAATAGCACGGTTGCTTTTCCTTGCAGGTATATTCCAGTTGGCTTATTAGAACACCTACCTCAGAAAATTAATGAGCGGCCGCCTTACTACATGGGGAGAGACTATCTGGAGACGCTGATGGCGAGCCAAAATGTGGATGACTGGATTAAAATAAGGTAATAAAGTGTTGAATTTCAGTTAAATCGCTATGAAGGGATGCCACAGAGCCCCACAAAGTCACTGTGCCCGTGTGCAGCCTCCAGAGAGAGGGTGATGACACCTTCCCATCAGTCAGAGAGGTTGTAAGGAAGCAGCAAGGGTTAAACAGTGCTTTTCTTCGAGGTTTTAGCTGAGCTTGAAGTTGAGGGCACATAAAGAACTTGCTCAGTCTCTGTATGTGCTTCATCAGGTCATCCAGTGCCTGCTGTTGATCGAGAATAACTGTTCTCGCTCGTGACACACTGATCGTCCCAGGACAGTCGCAGGAACCAGCAGAGGCACAGCCATGGGATGTCTCAGGCTTCCAGCATCAGATCCCTCTGTGCTTGGCTCGCACAGATGCCAAGCAGGAGGGCAGTCCCCCTTCCCTAGTTAGGAGAGCTGAGCATTTTCCCCATTTTTCATTATCCGATTTCTTGAGTTCATGCAACAAAGTGCAGGAAACTGTTTTTCCCCACATCTACAAGTCCTCAGGCACTGGCTTGAAATGACTTTGAAAGCTCAAAGGCAGCTGAAGCGAGAGCTGTAAGAGCCAGCTGCCACTTCCCATCTCATGGAAGCAGAGATTAGCGAGAATAGAGCATGGCTACAGCCTTCTCTGGTTTTGCTAATCCTCATCCGTTCTGCTAGTACTGGGAACAGCTGCCTGAAACCACGTTATAAGAACATGGAGTTTTGATCAGAATTTTTAAAAGCCATTTTTCAAGTGGAACCTGCCTGCATGAGGCTGCACAAAGATTTGTAACCCCTGGGATTTACAGTGCCATGTAATAGACATTTATAGCCATAAGAACTCAGAATTTTAAACCAATTTAGAATCATAGAATTGTCTGGGTTGGAAGGGACCTTTAAGATCATCTAGTCCAACCATAGACCTAACTCTGATAAAAACCATCACTAAACCATGTCACTAAGCACTGTGTCAATCCACCTTTTAAATACCTCCAGGGATGGTCCCTCAACCACTTCCCTGGGCAGTCCATTCCAGGGCTTAATAATAATAACCCTTTCTGTGTAAAAATTTTTCCCAATATCCATCCTAAACCTCCCCTGGCACAACTTGAGGCCATTTCCTCTTGTCCCATCCCTGTTCCTTGGGAGCAGAGACTGACCCCCCCTGGCTACACCCTCCTTTCAGGGAGTTGTAGAGAGCAAGAAGGTCTCCCCTCAGCCTCCTCTTCTCCAGGCTGAACACCCCCAGCTCCCTCAGCCTCTCCTCATAAGACTTGTGCTCCAGACCCCTCACCAGCTCCATTGCCCTTCTCTGGACCCGCTCCAAAAGAGACCACAATGTCTTTTTTGTGGGAAGGGGCCCAAAACTGGACACAGTACTCAAGGTGAGGCCTCACCAGTGCCCTGTCCAGGGGGACGATCACCCCCTGAGTCCTACTCACCATGCTGTTCCTGATACAGGCCAGGATGCTGTTGGCCTTCCTGGCCACCTGGGCACACTGCTGGCTCATGTTCCTCCTGCTGTCCACCAACACCCCCAGGTCCTTTTCTGCCAGGCAGCTCCAGCCACTCTTCCCTGAGCCTCTGGCGCTGCAGGGGGTTGGTGGGACCCAAGGGCAGGACCCAGAACTTGGCCTTGTTGAAACACATGCCATTGGCCTTGGCCCATCCATCCAGCCCGTCCAGATCCCTCTGCAAAGCCTTTCTACCCTCCAGCAGGTTGACCCTCCCACCCAGCTTGGTGTCATCTGCAAACTGACTCCAGGGTGCACTCCATCCCCTTGTCCACATCATTGATTAGGTTTAGATTTAAGTTTATTTTTAAAGCACATTTTAAGGAGACGCTAATGAGGAGCAGGGTTCTCTGAGCACACTCCATTTTTGCTTTTGTGCTGTAGATTCAGACTGTTGCTACACCGTTCCGTGCCCTGCTGGGCTGCTTTCTTTCTGACATGTGGAAAGTTTGATGCTGTATCGAACCAGCATCCAGGAAATAAGTTAAGCCTCCTTGACTAGAAAGAAAATTACTCTGCACTGAAAATACAATGTGTGTTCCAAAGTGTGAAATAGTTGAAATCTTAAGCCAGGATAAATCCAATGGCAATACAACTGCCTTACATCATTTCAGGATCTGCCCTTAATGTTTTCTGGCACTAACAGGGTTCTGGCTCTGCACAAGCACAGTGAGAGGTGTGGAGGAGCTTCTCAGAGGCTCCTGGTGATTTGAGGCATGTCATTGCCAGGCCTGAGGCTGGTGGTCAGGCCACCAAACTTGGGAACCCACTTTGGCATCGGTTTTGGGTGACTTCCTGGTAAGGAGACAGCAATGGGTCTCCCTCGTGGGGAGACTGTGTCCCTCCAGTGCTGCGGTTCGTGGGTTAAAGCTCCGCACCAGAGGCAGTTTTGTGCAGCAGCTCTGAATTTTCAGGAGGGTAGAGGCTTGGTTTGGCACACATGACGGCAGCCACTGTTGCTGAAGAGCCACAAGGCCGTGCAACAGAGTACCGATGGCTCTTGTACTGACACTAACTTCTTGGGATTTTTTTTTTTGCTTTCTTTTTGTTGTTTTTTTTTTCTTCTAGTGAGCTGCTCCTGGGACCCGTACCGACCAACTTCACCTTCCTGCCTAAACACAGGGCAAATTCCTACCGATAGGGCTGAGGAGACCCTTTCCCCTTGGCATTGAGTCAAGAGGAGGCGTTAGGACGATGCATGTAGAGGAGCAGGGTCGTTCAGCTGTGCTCTGAAATGAAATAAAAGTTTTATGTTTTTAGAAGCGCCGTTGCCTTTACACCCCCAGCATCAGTCCCTGCCACAAGTTATGCAGCAGAGGGTCCTCGCACAATCTTGCGGCCTGAGGTGCCTTGCTAACAGAGGGTAATTAATCTGTTTAATTAACAGGATACAGGCCACAAGAGATCCTTGGCCTCTGGTTCACGGCAGTTGTCCTGACTCCCCTGCACAACACAATGTTCATGTAGTGGGAGCAAGAGGTCTCTGTTCCTACTGGGGTGTCCTTGGTGGTGCCACATCGTCCCCAGTATGAAGAGGGGCTGTACTAACCCAGTCCCTGGGGTCCCGCAGAGCACAAACAGACCCAGCATCTCGTCATCCCATGGGGTGCAGAATCCAGGGCTTTTTTTGGAGCGTGCAGGGGCAAGTACCGTCTCCTCTCAGGCATCACAAAGGCAGGAAAAGCACATCCCCCTCCGAGGGGGACCCAGAGCTGCTTGTTTCCCAATCAGGAGACTAAAGGACCCAACGGCACAGCTTGAGGGAGGGCTGGGGGGAAGCAGAACACCGAGTGATGCCGACCTTAACCTCACACCCTCAAGTTCCTTTGTCCTGTCTCTGGTTCACTCCAGTCAAGGCAGAAGCACAGGGGACGGTCACAATGGCATTTGTTGAGTGACACAAGGAGGCTGTGGCTGCACCTTGGTCCCCACACACCTTGGCTGAAACCACTTCTTCCCCCCTCGGACCGAAAAATATTCTTCAAAGCAAGAAGCATTTCACCCGCAGCCCCAAGGTAGGGGCAGCGAGGTGCCAGGGGCACCTAGACTCCCCCTTAGATCCTTCCCTCCCCAAAAAGAGCTGGGGAGGCTGATAAGAAGGCGGGGGGAGGGGGGGGCAGGGTCTGCAGGGGTTTCCAGAGGGAGCCACAAAATTCCATCCTGGGCAACCAAAGACTCCTTAGCAGCAGAGAGACCGAAAGGACCAATGACGGCACTCCCACCACTGTGGCTCCCACTGAACAGCCCCTGGGCCCCTGCAGCACCCCAGATGGCCCCTGGGATGGGGGTTGCCCTCTTGGTGCCAGGGGACACTGCTGGCTCCTCCCATCCTGCTGGCTGACCATCCCATCTCCCCCTAGTCCTCCAGCAGGAGATGGGGAGGCTGCTGAGGGAGTGGGGGGGGGTGCCAGAGGGAGCCCCAACATTCCATCCCAGGCGACCAAAGAGTCCTTAGCAGCAGAGAGAGCGAGAGGACCCACCATGGCGCTGCCACCACTCTGGCTCCCACCAACCGGCTCCTGGACTCCCCCAGCACCACAGATGTTTCACACCTTTGTGCTCCCGCAAACCTTCTACCCCCAAGGTAGGGACCGATCCCGACCCACAGCCCGGGGACGCTCTCGGGGCCAAGAGCGCAGGAGGTGACCGCAGCCATGGCTCCTGTCTCTCTTCCAGGCTCAGCCATCCTGCTTCCAGTGTCTGGGCAGGAGCAGTCCTTCCCCGCAGCCTGGGCACCCCCCGTGGGGGCAGCCCCATGGGCCCCCCAGGCCCCACCACCAGGTATGAACCCCCTGTCTCCTCTGCCACCTTCAGCCCCTGAGGACCCTGCTCACCGTCACCATCCCACCTCCCCTCTCCCTTCTCACCTTCACCATCCCACCTCCCCTCTCCCTGCTCACCATCACCATCCCACCTCCCCTCTCCCTTCTCACCGTCACCATCCCACCTCCCCTCTTCCCTCACAGCAATTTTGGCACCGGGGGGGAGTGTTCAGCAAGCCCAGGTGAGGGTCCCTACCCTTGTCTGACCACTAAAGCCCATTTCCAGAGACTTTCCACACCCCTTGGGGCCATCTCTCCCATTTCCCCCCGACAAGCGTGTCCCCTCCCTGGTTTCCAGCCCTGTCCCCCCCCCGGCACAGCAGCTCACCCCGGGGAGTGCCCGGCCACCAACTCCCCAGGAGCCTGGCCCAGAGCAGGGACAGGGGACCACAGGGGTGTCCTGGGCTCGGCGGGTGCCCTGGAGGCTGCCCCCAGCCCAGCACGACTCCCTTTCCCCCCACAGGGCTGCAGATGGCCCCCTGCGGCTCCTGCTTTGATCCCCGGTTCTTCCACGTCAAGCGGACCATCGCCAAGCAGCCTCCACCAGCCACCCCCACGCTCGCCCACGGCCCCGCTGCTCCCCCGGGCCCTGCCCTGTGGGGCCTCGGGGGCTGTGAGACCCTCCCAGCCTGGGCAGCCCCCGGCATCCTCCAGGGACCACCCACACAGCCCCCGCTGACGCAGCTCCCATCCTTCAGCTACCAAGGCAGAGCGGTGGCCGCAGCGCCCCCGGCGCTGCTGCTGACCTCCATCCCTGGCCTCCAGCACATCCGGGGACCTTCTGGATGGAGCCAAATCTCCAGCACGGCCACCCCCACAGGGGCACCCCTGGGCAGCCATGGCACCCAACAAAGCCACGTGCCCCCCAGACCCTTGGCTGCCCCCCAGAAACCAGCTCCTGGGGACCCGGCAGGCACAGTGGATGTGACTGAGGAGATGCTCCTCCAAGAGGCTTTTAGGCTCTTTGCATCCTCCACGGACACAGTGGGGTCCAGCCAGGACAGCGCCACCACCATCTCCAGGCCTGGGGACCCTGGTGCCACCAGGGGAGAGGGCAGAGCGGTGGCCCCAGCACACACCACGCTGCCAAACTCCATCCCCGGCCACAAGAACAGCCTTGAATGGTCTTCAGAGACCAAGAGCTCCAGCACGGCCACCCCTGAGGAGAGAAGCCCAGACAGCAACATCCCTGCCTCCAGTGACCTCTCCTCAGACACTGACCTCTCCTTGGACAGCATCATCTCCCTGGATACCAGTGTCCCCACCAGCCCCTCTGCTGTCCACCAATGCCAAGCCCTCGGGGATCTCAAAGGGCCTCAAGAGTTCCCTCTGGAGGAGGCCCTGAGGCTCTTCGACTGCTCCGGGGAGGTGGGAGGTGTCAGCCAGGACAGTCCTGGCAGCAGCCCCAGGCCCACGGAGCCTGGGGACACCTGCACAGCCATTTCCCCCAGCGACTTTGATGCTGTCGAGCTGCCTGAGGAGCTTTTGAGTCACAACTACACTCTGGAGGAGACCATGGAGGCTGTGCGCTTCCTGGAGAAACTCCTCAATGGGCCGGAGTCCCAGGAGCTCTGGGAGGATGTGGGGACGGAGCTGCCCCCAGCCATGCCAGCCCAGATGGAGAGGCAGGGGACGAAGCAGGGGACCAGCTCCCCCTGAACACCATCCAGCAATCACTGGGCTCTTGCAAGGGGGCCAGGAATGGAGCCGGGGGGAGAGTCCCAACACAAGGAAGAAACGGGGATGATGGGGAGGTGGGGGTTGTGTGTATTCGGGGAGGGTCTGTGTGTATTTGGGGAGGGGGGAATTCTATTTAGGGGAGAGGGGTGTGCACTGGAGGAGAGGGTTGTATTTGGAAGGGGGGAGGTATTTGGGGAGAGGGCAGTATTTGCAGCGGGGGGGTGGTGTTTGAGGGAGGGGGGTTTAGAGGAGCTTCCATAGGACCTTTCCTCTTCTGTTACAAAGTTGACAAGTTGTTTCAATTAAAAGTTGTTTCTCCAGAACCGGTCTGTGCCTTTTTGGGAGGGGAGGGAGGCAGCGCAGGGGGCAGCGGGAAGCAGCACCACCCAGGTGCCACAGCCCCGATGAGCCCCAAATCACAGCCCACGAGCCCCAAAGGGCAAGGAGCTGCCCCCAGGGACGAGCCACCAGCAGCCGGGGGGCAGTGGCCAGGGGGGGACTCTCCC